GTTTTATTAAATTATTTTTAATTATTCTTTTCTTTTGTTTTTTTTATAAATAATTTTATAATTTCATTTCACACCAATGAAAAACTTTACAATTCACTGATTCCTATTGCACAAATGACATAAATATTTTTTTTTATTTTTCTTCAACATTAACACTAATGAAATTTTAAGAAAACTATTTACTATTTTAATAAAATAACTGTTATATTTTAATTAAATTTTTTTAATTTTCTAAGAAACTAAATTTTTTTGTTAATCGAAATTCCGCTGAACAACTCTACTTGCACGCACGCCAGTCTTTAAAGCTTTTCTAGCAAAGCTCCGTTCCGTTAAACATATTGCATTTGACTAAACTCGAAAACTAATTTTGGACTCGTCTTATATGAGTAAAAACTCACCAAGTTCGGTAAGTTCGTTTGGCTCAAGTATTAGATCTATGTTAGAGTACAAGTTGCGCTTTTAGCTTAGCTGACTGAGCTGAGCTGAGCTGAACTGAACTAAGCTGAGCTGAGCTGATCTAATGCCAAATACCCATTGCCGGCAACGAATTGTACCGGCAATAAATCTATACTTGTGAGTTGAGCCGAGTTTTTCGTAAATTCGCGCTTTATACTAAGACCGCGAAGTGCTCTAACTTTTGTCCCAAATCGTTGGTTTTGGGCTCATTAGTGCAACTAACTTGTAGGTTTTTGGACATTTTTTTTTTGAAGTTTATGAGAATGAATGGCATTATTTGATTTTGCGTTTTGATTTTTAATGTTTCTGTTGCAATAATTTTGATTTCTTGCCGTCACATTGAACTGGCGGACTGAGAAAGCAAAATAGCTTCAGTGGACCAACCCACTTGTTCAACCATTGTTACATCAAATATTTAATGTAATTTGTAAACAATTTTGTTGTTTTATTTGTTAATACATTTATGCGTGATTTTTTTATTACTATTTTCCCTGTGCTTTTATGTAACTTTGTCACAATGTTTTTCAAAAAAATTATATGTAATCATCGCCTAATTCTGCTATAAATTTGTTATAATAATTTTATCGAAAAATTCATTGTAATTTATTTACTTACAGAAGTCATGACTACCTATGCCATTTTTCCGCATTTTTTCCTAGTTATTATTTTTTTTTTAATTTAGTATTCTTTTTATTTATAAACATTACTACTTGCTTATTTATTAATCTAACGAGCTGTGAAGAAAACATTTGTTGGAAACAGAAATGCGTAATAAAGATTTATCAACAATATTTTTATGCAGAAGAATTGTTTGAACAGAAAGTCAATATATAACATAAATATTATTTTTAAAATATTTGTTTAAAAACACTGTAACTATTTCCTTATTTTATCTTAAAAGTACTCGTCATTTGTCAATAAAGTTATTTGTTTAAATGTCTGTAATACTCTATATATTTTATTAAATCATTTTAATTAAACCGAGCTCTGCAAATGGGCGAGCATTTATTCTTGAAATTATTTTCATTCATTCAATTTTTTTTTTTAATGGCAGTCTTTGGTTTATTCAAAATCTCAAAACCCTAATAGCGTGTTCGATTTGTAAATCTGGAGAAATTTTTTCAATCGAAATACTCTTAATATACTTTTAGTGCAATTTAATATTCGTTTGGTAAATTTGGGGCAAAATATATTACACTCGAGATTAATTTATAAACACTCTGATAATTTGCTAGAGTAGCAAGCTTACCCTAAAATTAACAGCTATTACATATAATTTGACAGATATAGTGTGATTTGATTCGATATATGTATTTATGAAAAATATAAACATCTGGTGTTTATGGACCAGGCAAAAAATACTGGGAAGCATTAGGAAACAATACAACCATCTTTCAAGCGGAAATATACGCGATAGATAGATGCGCCAGTTTCAATCTTGAACGTAACTACCGGAACCGTAAAATTGCAATACTGACTGACAGCCAGGCAGCTATAATGGCACTCATATCTTACCAGGTAACATCCAAACTGGTATGGGAATGCATTGACAAGCTGAACACACTCGGTGGGATCAATCAGGTGCACCTTTTATGGATTCCGGGACATACTGGTATCCAAGGTAATGAAATGGCAGACAAACTTGCAAGAAGAGGCGCGGCATCAAGAATGATAGGCCCAGAACCATTTTGTGGTCTAGGCAAAGGAGCTCTATCCATTATCATGAATGACGCAGAGAAAAAAGAGAGAGAACTCTATTGGTTAATGCTACCAAGACTCTCACAATCTAAAATGCTTTTAGGGACTTACAACCTAAAACGCTTTAAAGATTGCATAGTGCAATCAAAGACTAACATAAGAATTATTACGGGATTACTGACCGGTCACTGCAGATTGAATAATCACCTATCGATGTTAGGAATTCAATCCAACTCAGACTGCAGATACTGCATGGAAGAGAGAGAAACGGCATACCATGTGCTTGGGGAGTGCCCGGCACTGATGCATAAACGAAAGAAACACCTAGGAGGGTATTCAAGACTGGGGAAGATAGGATCCATACTGTCTTTCATTAAAGAAATCGGACTTGGAGAAATACTCTAACCCGACAAAGGGGCACAATAAATCTTTTAGGTCGCAGTGCACGATCCCTTACTCAATAATAATAATAATAAAACATCTATAACATTACTACAAAAATAAAATAAAAATAAAAATAAAATAAAAACGTTCGATTAGGCAACAAAATTTGACGGATCTAGAGTAAATGTGGATTGAATCCAGATTTAACAAGCGAAAACGTCATAAGTTTCAAAAATAATGAAAAATCCTCATCAAAAAACAAAAAAAAAACTATTTAATTAAAGGAATTTGTACTCTTATTATTTGCCAAATCAAATTATATATATTCATTATATAACGACACATTATAAAATGAAATAAATACACACCATCTAGTGCCAAAATATAATTGTAAATTTACGAAATATAAGTTAAAGTGTGTAATAATAACAAATCTACTAGATTTTAAAGTCCGATACTGGTTGATATGCGCCATATGGATGTATTATTTATGAAACATTAAAAAATTATTTTAATTTCAGAATTTCGCAACAGGATTGTTATATTATTTTTGCATAGTTAATGTTTATATACTAATTATAAAGAATCCATTGCAAATAAAACTCTGCAAGTCATACGATTCCCGCAAATAAGAGCAAAACGCACAAATAATAATATTTCCACTTAAATAATCATTACTGGTAGCGTTCCCCAAAATTTGCACTACAATAAACCGAATCTAAATAAAACATACGCAAACTGTCTTCCTTCACAACTAACACAATCTATTCTACTTCTTATTGTTCTAACATATACAGTATAATTATTTCCATTTCATATAAGCTTAAAATTATGGTATGGAAGACAATCGGACAGCTTATTAAGAGACATGTTAAGAGCTCATAGATTTTATGCGAGGTAATTCAATAGAAATATTACAAACATACATCATTGCCATCCTTAACTTACATATATGCTATACTAAACATTCTGATGAAAAGGTAGACATTGGTAGAGCTGTTACCATGAACCATAGTATTTAGTAAAAATATCAAACAGAACAATAACAGTTACGATTCAGGACATATACGGTCCTATGGTCGTGTATACAGAAGTACTTCCCTTCAAATTATGTTAATTCAATTCAATATTATAGCATAGACTTCGTTTTAGTCAGTAACTTTTACACAAATTAGTTTAAGTGTTTAGACTTAAATTTTCAGAATTTAGCGAATAATCCAAAAAAAGGAAACAAAAAAAATATATTGGGTTTTTTAAGATATACTTTTCAATATGTTCCGTTAGTATATCGAATGAAACGTTCAAAAATACATCAACAATAAAAATGGGTTGTAGTTAACATTTTTTTCAAATTTGTTTTGCTTTTCGGCTTTATTTTATATTTTTTTTTTCTATCTAAACTTGCACCCATTACTGCCACACAGGCATTTTTAAGCCAGTATTAATTAAAATAAATATATATATACGTATTAATATGAGTAGAATTGTATGGGGCGTACCATTTATATATAGTATATAGTAATATATAGTAAAATAATACTACATATATATAATAATGTAATATATATAAATAATATTTGTATACTTTATACAATAATTAAAATGATTAGAATGTTTTACTCAATCAATTCTTGTATATATTTCAGTAGAGTTAATTTTAATGAGATTTTTATATAGCATGTAAAAATATAATATCTTTATTTCATATATACAAAAATTACTATCATTTGTTCAACTAAGAGCAAAATGTTCGTTTAATAAATATATTTTATTTCAGCCCTATATAACCCTTTTTATCATTTTCAAAAAAAAAAAAGGATTAGAAGCACTACATAGATATATTAAGTTATATATTGCAACAGTCTATCTTCTCTAATAGTTTTTAGGAACACTTCAATCTACGTTCTAACGATTCTAGTCAACATTCTAAATTGAGATATTTAAAGAATAATATATATATTTCCTATACGAGTATCAAGCAAAAAGTTGGGTTTAAAAATCTAAAAAATCATTAGATATAGTAATCTCCGGATGTGATGAGTTAACAAAACGACACTTATATGCCACTTGAGCAAAAAAGGAAGCTCTATCGCTATTAAAAAATCAACTAATAGTTTTAATGTTGTGACACTAATTGTAGAGTCAGATCAGTTATACGAGTATCAAGCAAAAAGTTGGGTTTAAAAATCTAAAAAATCATTAGATATAGTAATCTCCGGATGTGATGAGTTAACAAAACGACACTTATATGCCACTTGAGCAAAAAAGGAAGCTCTATCGCTATTAAAAAATCAACTAATAGTTTTAATGTTGTGACACTAATTGTAGAGTCAGATCAGTTATAC